ATGCTTGTCTCCTTGTACTGCATTGCTGTTTATCTATTGTTTCTCTGGATCTTTTCTTCCTCCAAGCTATGATAGCTTGACTTATTAAATCAAAGTTAAGATTGGAATTGTTCGTGGGGTCAAGGCCAATGTTTCCAGATTCTTTGTCCTTCACTTCTGCTGACGTTTTAGAGGTTCTCGACTGTTTCAACTTGTTACTGATTGCATCGAAAAACTCTTTTCTTTCTTTTGAGCTCGAGCAACGGTTCTCATCGATAAGATCATACAGCTCACTTTCGCTCACAAAGTTCTTAGCATCCAAAAGAGCATCGTTGATTATGCCAATAAAGAAGTTCATACAGAGAATAGTGAGAGTGAAGAGAATTAAGAAGGCGAATATTTTGGCGTATATGGTGTCGGCCTGTGCTAATTCATTGATTGGTCTAGCTTTCACTCGACCAAGAGTTAGCTCGAGTTGGAAATAGGCTCCTTTTAGCACCGAAGAGTAGTGCTCAGATACACAGCCAAACACTAAGACACCGAAGTGCAAAAATGCCACAAAGAAAATGGATAAAACGATGCTAAAGGATAACAAAGATCGTGCAGATATCTTCAATGTTGCGGAGAATAGAGCAACATAGTTGTTGAAGCGAATGATTCGCAATAGCTTGGTGGTGACGATGAAAGTAAGAATTCCAAGTACCACATTTTCCACTTCTTGGCAAGTGATAGCTTCTTGGAAACTTAGATTTCCGTAAATGTTTTTATGCAGTTTTCCCATGGTTGAAATGGTTTTACTTTGTCGTATTATGTACATCACCACGGAAATCAGAGAAAAAACAATTTGAAATATCTCGACCCAATTCCAGATAGACTTGAAATATCGAGAACGATGACTGTAAAGTCTGAAAATTTCCCTTCCAAAATACAGAAAAACGAATACAATGTACAGGAACAAGCAAATCAAATAAAACTGATGCGAGGGTGTGCCCGTAGAATCAAGTGAAAGAACACGAATTTGCATGGAGGCTGCTCTCAGTCCAGATGCATCAACTTCATAGAAGTATGTGGCAACACTTAAAATATTCACCGACGGATTGAATGTGGAAAACTCTGCCAGGACAACTCTGGTTTGCCTGTCAAGCCAACCGTTGTTTTGTAAATTTGTTACTATGCTGAACCCCGTATGGTTATCATAACCGAGGTCTGCTACAAATCCTCCTCCATAATAAAAGGAGAAATGTCCCCACCTGGGTGTAGTGTCGGTTTTCTCGGCATGTTGATATCGCCATGGCTTCGGGCAAAGTTGTAATAACTCGTCACTCCTCGCAGCATTGTCGACAGGCCTCCAGCCTGGTTTGTTGTAGGCGGTCTTGTCTTCGTTCTTTGTCGAGTATCCTTTGAAACATTCTTGGAACGATGTTTCCATATAGTTTAGGACTTTACATTGCGCTGAAAGTTGGAACAAAAGATCATGATTAGGAAGTTTTTTTTGGTATTCATTTCACTCAGGGATGACACATTTCGTACTTTTAACAAATATGGATACCTCTTGTTATGGAGAATTATTAGAAGCCTTCAAAGAAGCATTTGCTTTCGGAGGAAAGGAGCGCCGTCATCAAAGCCTAAATTTAATCAACGTTCATAATAAAACGCAGCTACCTAAACACTCGTCTGGATAATTGTCAGAATGGTCAGGAGTCGAGAAAATTGTCAGCAGTGCATGTTCAATATTTTTTCTTTAAGAATTTCACTAAGCTATTGTTTAACTCTATAATTAAGTTTGTGCGCCGATTGCTTCTCTATCAGGCAAAAGTATATGTGTATAACTATAACATGTGAAATGACGTGTGTGGGTAAATAGCCTTTTCACTGAAATGCAAAGAGGAATAAAAATGGAAAAAAACTTACTCGCTTTCACTCTGAGTTGCCTTACTCGAGCCATTCCGACGAGAAGAGAGTGTTTATTACCAATATAAATTGTTTGCTCATCCCTTTGACCGTTGTACCATCTGCCGGAAAACACACCTGGGATGAAAACACGCTCTAACCAGCTCCAGTACATTGTATTGTTTGTCACCTGAATTAGTACAAGATCATTGGGTTAAATAAATAAATAAATAAATATATATATATATATATATATATATATATATATATATATATTCGTGATATAGGGGTTTAATGAAAGAATATTCATATGTATATATATATATTGCGTAGCAACGTATACGAAATCGTTACGCTTATTTAGTGATATATATATCTACAAGCTAGAACCATCCGAAACAAAAACAAAGCGTTGCTACGCAACAGCTGAACTTTAAGGTTTTTAAGTTTACCGCGTATTATGTAAATTTTCCTAGTATATACATGATAGTCACATGAATATTCTTTCATTAAACCCCTGAAGAGTGAAGCGATTCACGAAACAGGCTTGTCGGGAAATGTAGTTGCGTCCTTTTTTCCTCTCATAATATATATATATATATATATATATATATATATATATATGAATTGTTAATTGAATTGTCATCAGTTAACAAGGGTAATGAACCCGTGTCTTCATACCTTCACAGAAACAAAGCGTTACTGCGCAACAGCTGAACAAAGCACCTAAATTTACCGCCACATTTATTATGCAAATTTTATAGTATATCTTCGATGGTTACAAATATTCTTTCCATTAAAATCCCCTGAAGAATGATCTAATCACGAAACAGGCTTGTCGAGAAAAACCTTGTACTGGAAAAACCGAAACAAAGACTTGATATATATATATATATATATATATATATATATATATATATATATATATATATATACTTTTTTTTCCCTAGCTCAATTCATATCACGCTGTACTTCCATGTATCAAGCACTGTAATACGGAAAAACCGAAACATAGACTTCCTATATATATATATATTTTTTTTAAGTATAGCTGTATGGATAGACGAGCAGAAGTTTGAGTCACACAAGCGAGTTACTATTTATGGGCGTGTCTTAGACTATTATTCTCACTTGCTTATTTTCATTGCACCCATCCCCTCAAATATTATGTTTGCCGCTTTCTGGCTCTTCTCCTATAGCAGAATTGAATGCCAATGTCTTCATGGGATTATACATCTATTGCTTGGAATTTCTTTCCAGTCCTAAATTTGGGTCTCGCGCACTAACATATCTCTTGTACCCTGTTCTAAAGGGATATTCCTACTCAAAATATCCATTACAAAAGCAGAAAATGCCTTAGTCAGCTCTTGAAGAGGCCGGCAAAGTAAAATTTTACTTCATATATTTGATTTTGGATCTCCGTGGGAACGAAAAGTCGTAAGATAAATTAAACACGCGAATTTCAGCAATGGATTTATCATAATCAAATAATGTTTACTCACCTTGCCAAAGTTTGGTAGTCCATCCTGGATTGATTTCGTCATCAAGTACCGATGGTCATTTCTGTTTCCATAGCACACTGCCATAAGCAAGAAAACGAAGACCAAGTATAAACCCAACTCTGTGAAATAACGTGTCACGTTCTGTTTCTTAGCTTGTCGTCTCCTCATCTCTTCCACATCTGATAATTTCAGTGTCCAAAAATGTTTCTCATAGTACCCAGTTTTAACTTGTTGAGGGCTTTCGCAGGCGTGTACTTTTGATCTCTTCGCCTTTATCTTTAAAATGGCCGCAAATGTTAAAGCTGTGAAGAACACCTTTACTGGTTCCTTGATCGTTACATCCTGCGCGAATGAGATAAGCATCGAAGAAAGCCACTGCTCACTGACACTCTTTTCCCAAATTAGACTGTAGAAAATTGAAAACGCAGCCGAAACACTACAAGAAAAAAACAACAAACACCAAGCGATACCAGAGATCAGGGTACCTTTAAGACGATAGTCATTGTTCGTCGCAGACTTTTCAGCTCCTTTCTGAAACAGAATCACTATGACAATGTTTATGGGTGTCACAACAAGCGCGCTTTCAATTCCAGTTACCACTTGTCTCCACGACATTTTCAGCGGTCCGAATTGGATAGGCTGTTCATATTTGCCCTCTAACTTGTAGAACATCGCGTTAGCAAACATAGATGTCAAAAGCACTGAGAGGCAGCAAGAAAGCCGCTGTACTCTTGTAAAGCGGCTTTTTCTCAGCTTGGCTGCTACTGAAATCCAAATATGCCACTCCGCGAGTCCTCTTCGCCAACGTCTTGCAACTTCATTGCCAAAATCCAAATGATTTGAGGTCTGGTCGATTACTCGCTCGATGCGCCCATCTCCGCGCTCAAGAGCAAACCACTGATTGGCTATGAATTTCCACGACTGCTTGGATTGTACGTCCCGAATCAGGATTTCTTCTAGGTACCACGAGGGATTATCTCCAAAATTATCATGTCCAATCTGCACTCCTTGAATCGCACCAAGTGATTTGTTAACATAAAGTACAAAAACATTTGAGTTACCTCGTGAGAATAACGTATTCACTGCACCAGGCTCTTCTTGGCTAAGCTGAAGAATGCCACTCTTTCCATCAGAACCGTAAATTTCCAAAGCAACATGAGCAGTAGTGCCTGAGTTTTTCCAAACCCCTGTTGTAATCATTATATTATATTCATAGGTACTGCTTGAAGATGATGGAAGTTGGATCGGTAATTCCTTCTAAAAAAAACATGATAAAGCATGAATTACATGGCTAGCTGATTTATATTCTTAATTCGCTGTTTTGGTTCCAGTCCAAAAAAAAAAAAATGGCTGTCACTTCATTTTTTTAAAACCTTTTTATTTTCTCAACACTCTAACTCCCAGGGGTGACCAACATGCAACTTCTCCCAAAAATATCCGTACATTATCCAGGTAACAGGTCACGAGAATACTCAAAATTATCAGGTAGATTTTGTTATCTTGATCTATTAGCAAATTGTCATGACTTATTTACAAACAAATTGTATAGCAACCGGAAGGAGATTTAAGAACAAAATCATGGGAGTGAAATGGTCATGCTGGAGACCATACTCCGTTAAAACAACAGTCCTAAGCAAAATCTCGCTCGACACTCACATTTTTCGCGTCTTCCTCGTCGAATTTCCTTACGATAACAAGCACAGTCACATAACATAATAAAATCACCGCAATAACCACAATTACTGCGATATTTCCAGTTTCTGATAACTGCTGAAACTCGACTAAGACTTTGTCGAAGTCAATGGGATTCGGTTCCACTAAAAGACTTCCCCCAAATGATGTCAAGTGGCTACAGCTACAGCTTAAAAATCCATCTAATTCTGCTAAAACCTGAAATCATAAATGCAAGATGTTAATGATAAAAATTATCATTTTGGCTGTCACCATAAATCACACTGTATCTTTTTTGTTTTAAGGCGCTTCTATGCCTCAGTTGGCTATCAAATCGATTCGACTGTCGTCTGAAAATGTTCTCTAATCAAAGATTAGCCTGAATTAAATGATAAGCTTAATGAGTGAAGATTATTACAATACCACAGCACTTTTGCAAACATTACCCGGGAAAGCTCAAATTATCTGAATAGTGTTGAATACGATTCCAAATTAGATAAAAAAGATTGCGCTGAAAAGCGTTATTTAATTTTCACTTACTCGACAACCAGATGATATCCACTTGTCACACGTTTCTGACCAGTAAACACAACTACCCAAGGTCACCTTCAGAGTGTAGTTCTGGTCTGTTGTGGAATCATAAACTGGCATCACAGGGACATTTTCACTCTGGGGCGGGGCAGGTGGTGGATCTTTGACTTCGACGCAGGAGCGCTTCCTTCGCCTTCCACCAAGACAAGATCTTTTCTCCCTTGTGTGAGATAAGTTCACTGTGGCATTGTAATTTTTTAAGCCGAGAAAGTATTTCCCAGGACGCTCAGCCAGAACTTGTATCGGCGCATGTGGATTCACGGAGCAGACCGGTTGCCCGTCACTTTTGTCATGTGCGCTTATCCTCCAAACACACTTTTTGTCATAAGAGATAGTAGCATTGAGGTCGTAGTTTTGAGTTGTCGGTCGCTGACCAAAACGCATATAGACAAACAGATGTACGGTTGGATCTTGAGGTTTGATATCCAGCATCAACAGGGTGTTTTCATACTTGACGTTTACCTCGTGGAAACGTAGATCATCGTTCTTTGTGAAATACCATGACTTTTCTGAAGCAGAGATTTTCTGAAGTTTTAAAGGCGTAACGATAACAATGTCTTCCGTAAGATTTGATACTTTAATAAGCTCGCTGTCGTTGTTTTTCAAGTGCAGGGTTACAACATCAGTGCCAACTCGCTCCTTTGTGGCGTCCCAAGTGTAAGGGTTGAAAGAAAATGAGAGCATCTAAAAGAAGAATAATTAAGAATTTTGCTTGTTCGTTTTTGTGGACTGCTATAATTGAACACGTAAACATGGTAATCCTTCTTACTATTAATCATAAGTTATCATAAGTTGAGATCAAAATAAAACTGAAAATATATTTGAAAAACAACGAAAAATAAATAACATTCATGTGGCCACTTCGGTCACATGACTCGATTCTTTTTTGTTGCCCAAGTGCCAGAGTTGAACACGTCAAAAGCAAAACAAGAAATATGATTGCTGGAGGTAATAAGCAACCTTTAAGTGCTATTTTAACTTGACTGGTGTCGGTATCTGCAAAAAAAAAAAAACTTGGATTGAAATTTGCCTGAAGGGCAGGAATACTTACCTGAACATTTACAAAACTTGTTTTGTTTACTCCAGAGAGTAACAATTGGCTTTTAGACGGTAAGATAAACCGGCCTTTTCCTGCTTTTATTTCCAGTCCTGAAAGTCTTTGGAGGCTATATATATCTTCCGACTGTCATGGATAGTTGTCCCGCTGTGAATGATATCGTTCTTTCATCAGGTACTGTCAAGGCCAACACTGAGTCTGCAACTTTCTCGAGGGTCTTCATTGAAATCTTCACCAGTAGTTTACCCTGTAGAAATTTCCATATAATGTAAGCACACTATGGATTTTCGCAAGCTTAAAACAAACATACATACAAACAAACCTTAAAAGGTCCAAAATATGAATGAAGAAGGGAGTAACGGTTAAGTTTACAACAATCATCAATGGACCATTCGCCAATGAATAAAGACTAATGTACATTACAGTACCAGTTGTTGAAAACTTGATTTGAAGTTTTCTGATGCAATCACTGCTGCTGCCTTCAACACGCTATTAAGACATGAAGCCAAGTTTTCTGCTGATTGCTTCGTCAGTGGTATGTCTGCTACGTCTTGTTTCTGGGCAAGAGACCATAGTCGTGACGTCATTGAACTGATAGCAGATAAGGAGAAATTCTGTGGAGTGCAAATGAATTTAAATGAAGCTAAAAATGCTTGCTTTCAGATTTCTTTCCTATGACCGTCCTAGAGATAATTTGTGGCGAATTAGTTAAAGTATGTACAAAACTATAGGTTGGTTCATTTGATAACGCAATAGTTGCTTGTTTTTATGCTTGTTCATTTCCGTTTTCTTCGTCTTTGCTGTTGTTGTTATTGCTGTTTTTCTTGAGCCTTTCTGGTCAAATAGTTTCACGGTATGAAAACTTGACGTAACCACCAACGCTATTCCAGCCCCAAACAATATTACGTAATTAACTTACCAAAAACTGATGGGGCACTTTCTCCAGAACCTGAAGAGCAGAGCCGATAACTGATGATTTTTGAAGCAGGTCGAAGACAGTTTTCGCTTCCAAGGGCGAAATTTTATCAAGGATGTCGTTCATCACCTTAAACAACCATAAAGATTTTAGCTTAAAGTTATTTAAACCAGTAAAGAAATAGGCAACCAGACTGTATCCCCCGTGTGAGGCTCGTTCCAAAGATATTGATCTAAAGACATATTTAGACTTAACGTATCAGATTTCCCTATGACATTGCCAGTTAAAACCCATCAAATGATTTGCAAGGGCATGATTGATCTAAATGCATCAAATCACCGAAAACGTCTAAGCAAAAAAAAAAGGAATATTTGGTGATTTCTGCCCATGAAATGTATTTTTAAACCTCAATTTCAAGACGTTGTAAGTATTCCTTTGAAATTTATTCAAAGCATTCTCCTCAGCATTCTTCATTCGTCAGAACGGAAGGTGAATTGCGAGAATAAGGGAAAGTCAACGCTTAAAATGCACGAAACGATTCTCGTGCTGCAAAAACATTTTTAACTCAAAGCCTCCATTTTTCTCAAAGGAATGTTGATATATTTAATGCATTATACTTGTCTGTTCTTCGAAAGTTGATTTTTTTTTTATTGTTATTATTTTCTTCATATAAATGTCTTCTCATTTTTTTGCACGTTTGGCCCTTGGTAAACTCTTTGCTTTTCGGATACTATCAGAATGAACTAGTTTTGTTTCACTCTTTAGGTAACGAGTTGGGTTTGAAAAGTACCTTGTATTTCTCCTGCAAATCCATTGAGGTTTCATGTGAAACTGATAGAAGTAAAGCGTTTGCTATTAGCGCCGCTTCTCTCAGGTTTTTGATCTTAATGAATTTCTCACGAAGGTTTGCGATAAAATCGGGTGTTACATTCTGAGATGGCTTGATCTGCAAAAGTCAAAAGTAGTTATCTATAACTATAATTAATCTATTACTAATAGGGACTAAAAGAAATCAAATATTCTCACATCCTTTCACGCTAGACATTAAACTAATGGTTAGCGACCTACCTGAACTTTCAAAGAGACCTGGGAGGCAGAAATTCCAAAATTGTCGGTCACTGTAGCGATAATTTTGACAGTAAAATTATCTGTACTATTCCCAGGTGGTATCCAAGAGGTAGTTATGCTGTTGTTAGCGCCACGATATAACACATTGTACAAACCATTCTCTAGCCTGTATTGAAACTGGTAGGACAGAGGGGTGTTGTCACTTTCCCAGTTGCTACAGCTCAGACTGAAATTAGTCTCCAGTGAGATGCCGCTTGGCGGAGTGATGGAGCAGTTCCCCCCTCTAGGGGGTATTGCTCTACGGAGTATTGCTATAGGGGTTATTGCTGTAGAGGTTATTGCTGTAGGGGTAATTGCTGTAGAAAAATCGTAAGTATTACTATCAGTCCCAATCCTTACACCTAATAGACCATTAACAGAGTCAGGGGAAAAATTAATGCACTATTCAGCTGCAAAATTTCTTTCAATTACCGGTACAGAAAAGTTCTAAATAGACCTGTGATATCTAACACCAGGAGTTCCAGATATATTGAAAGAAAATAGAATTTAGTCGAAAAATTAGAATGCAGCGTGAGCTGGAAAAGCAAGATTATAAAAAAAAGGAGTATACACATACAAGTTACTTTAATGAGAAATCTAAGCAAAATATTCGCCGCATTTAACCCTTTAACTCCCAGAAGTGATTAACATGTAACATCTCCCTGTGACATCCAACTAACCGAGAAATGTGTGACAGCTAGAGGGGAGAGTTAACAATTAGATCTTGGAAGTTAAAGGGTTAACAGTTTTTTCAACATCTACATGTGCTCGCACACATCCATTAACAGCTTTAATGTTGACAAAACTCGTACTTATGCAGATTTCCTATAAACCTGTGGTGTAAGCCTCATGTCATGACTTCAAAACTTTGATTATCACTTCAAAAGGAGAATGAAAAATAAATTTCAAATTTTTATTTATTCAGTTGAGGTTATTTAGATCAAATTGAGTCAAACGTTCTTGCGACAACACGATCAAGACTTATGTACAACTACCGGTAATGATGGGAAATGCAAACGGCGTAAAGGTTCGTAATTTCAAGGTTGTCACCATTACTCAATTTACAAAACTTGAATGAAACAGATATTTTATCCGACGGCGACGGCGACGGCGATGCTTAAGATGGATGAGAATGTTAATCTTCGATTACAACGACATGTTAACCGAGCTCTTTTTTGCTGTTTACGGCTTTTCTCTTGGCACAGGTTTGTATATTTTTCAAAATATTCGGTGGCGAATGACAGGGAACGCAAACGGTAATTTTAAGCTTGTCACCATTACTCAATTTACAAAACTTGAATGGAACAGATATTTTATAATAAGTGGACGTTAACGAGGACCTTTTCGGTTTTCTTTCAACACAGGTTTTACTAAATGTGTTATAACACCATTAGTCGCCACTGTTACAAAGTAGTTTACCCGAACTGTGCTAAACGAAAGGACACTGTTGGAATACATTACAAATAACTCGAACATTCCCATTGTTAACGCTATTATGAGAGGAAAAGACTAATAAGCAATGGCTTTAGGTAAATGATACGGTAGTTGGATAAATGTTTTATTACTTAGCTATTGGCTTGATCGCGATACTCTCCGGTGTTAATTTCTGTGCACTTTTTTTCGTAACTAACACCATCGCATTCTCGAGTACATTAAGCACCGGAAAAGTCTCAATTACACTGAGAACCGTTACATTGGGCATCAGCAAGTCTGTCGAGTCCCCCACCCTAATCCCTTATCATTTTGTACCTTTGCCTTTCTGAGAACGGGTTATTTTTTGTACTTGGGACATATTTCACGCCATTATAGTGACCAACTCTTCTTACCGTATTGTTGCGTGCAAGGTGGTCCAACGTAGTCTTGGTAAGAGTCCTGCGAAAAGTTTTGTTCAGCAGCTGAGTCTGTGGAAAAAATATCACAAACACAATATAGAGGAATTAATTATTCCAAAAAGAAAACAATTGTTCTTTTCTGAGCAGCAACACTATTCAAACTATTATTATTATTACCATATTTGAACTATTCAAATTTGCTTTGCGCCTGCACCGGAAAAAATGATCTTTTTTTTCATGAATAAAGATAACTATGTTTGCGTGTAGAGCGTTATGTTGGTTGCAACCCAATCACATTGCCGTATAAGGTTCGTAATTCGCAGCAATTAGATTGCCACATTAGGGTATGTATCTCACACTAATCACACCACCGCATTACGGTATTATGTCGTACCAATGACATCATAACCTTCAGATGTCTTGTACCAATCACAGCGTTTAGGTATTGTTTTCTCTAAAAAGATGTTATGGAATCAGGGGGCCGTGTACAAAGAATAACTTTAACCAGAAATTTTGGACTCGTTTGATGAGAGTAATGGTTTGTGAACTTCGCTTGAGCCTCGTCCTTTGAAGACGAGAGTTATCGGGATATGAAAGGGTCGCATTTAACTTGTTGTATCATCTTAAGTTTAAGTGTGTCTTTTCCGCTATTTTTCTCACAGCGCACACGCTTAACAACTTATCTCCTATCTTAATTCACGAGCCATACACAAGGAGGGGATGTGCAGATCGAACTAGGAGCGCGAGTATTTCATGCCGTCCGACAAAGGTACAGAGAACAGCAAACAACTAGTTACAACTGAATTACCTCTCGCGCTCTCTCTCGTGTACCGCCGCGTGACAAGGAAACCCAGAAGACCCAGTAGAAAAAATGGGAACGTATTCACTATCCTAATGCAGGCGCACCAACCTCTGAGGGTTAGAGGTAAAATAGGCTAAATTATGTACAAAAAAAATTAACTTAAAGCTCGAAAACTTCGAGAAATGAGATGAATACATCACAAATGTCAAACCTTCTATTCGACCTACAACAAAAGACGCAATTAACGCCATAGCGGCTCAAGTGCTTACATACTGATCGGAAAATATTGACATTCTCTGTCACTGTCCCTACAGTTTAGTTCCGCCGTATGTAAATGCATTTACCTCAACGTTCAAAGTCCAATCAGAACATACTACATAATTGAACTACATGAACTGAACATGTGGCACTTTTTCATGCCCTTG